GTCATGACTTCCATTATATCCACCTTTACTCCCTTGGTAAGATGCTTACCTACAAGGGAACAATGAAAGTTAGTCAATTTAATTTAATTCAATTTAAGTTTAATTTTTAGTTTCGCCATATATTAAACTGGAAATGTAACAACTGAAAAATACTGTGATATATATGACAGGGTGACCGCAACAGCGTTAAGCCAATTACTGCGGGCCCAAAAAAATAACTTAATTGAAGCTTAGTGCATAAAGATAATTTAAGTAGATATATTGACACATTTGAATCAAATAACTAACAACAGGAGGTAGCAAGAGTGAGGCTTCTGCAAGAGTTACATTTTAAACAAACTGTTTTGAAAGTACGTGGGTCGTAACAGTTGTAACTGTCCAGTGACGTTACGTAGTAACTTAACATGGCGTACTATAGTATAGAGTATGGGTATAGTCGTACTATAGTATGCTGTTTGCCTCGGAATGGCTAATTCAGACCAAAACGTCTGGGTTTTGGGGTTCCCGTCAATAAAAACATACTTACTAAGAATGTTGGAAATTTGATTGACAGAAATCAAAACCCAAAAAGTCTGGAATTAAAGCTAGTTGTGTAGTAGGTCGCGAAATCACGATAGTGATGTAAAAATAAGCTACTCATTCCATCGATTGCTTGAGTTTTAGGCCCTGGCTAAACGAGGAAACATGTTTCTTAAATGTTTCCAAAGGTGGCAAAACTGTAAGGGAACATCGGGAAATATGTTTACTCATATCGGTTAGCGCATGCGCACTTTCAAGATAGAGCTAGCGTTGCTAAGTAACGAGCTTTTAGAATGTTATCTTTCGTGGCTAAACGAGGAAACATTGGGAAACATTGTTTCCATGCGTCTTGGAAGCATGAAACATTTCTGCCGCACAACAGAAACATTTTTGCGTCTTGGGAGCAAACTTTGTTGCACGTAGCAATGTTTCGCATGTGGCTAAACTTGGAATCATCGGGGAACATGTGCGCGGGAAACATGTTTCTGAAAACTTGTTTCCTCGTTTAGCCAGGGCCTTAGGTCCTTACCAAGCTCCTCAAAATTCCAGTTCTTCATTGCTTCCCAGTCATCCATCAAACCAGTAATAATAACAGGAATTTTTGGTTTTACAAACTCTTTCATAAACTGTTCTTTGCTTGGACGATGTACACGTTGTATCGTACAGTGTTCCCTTGGCATGGGCCAATAGTCYTCCATGTTGATACTTCTAAAGCGTTTCTCCTCTTCTTCCAAGTGTCTTGCGTGTTTTATCTCGTGAGGAAGGAGATGTTCTGGTTGAGTTGAGTTGAGAGTTGTGAAAAGAGAGGGACTGTGAGGAGAAGACGGSGAAAAGGAGTTGTAAGTGTTGGACGTGAAGCCATCGAGCTCTAAAATATAATTAACAAGAAAAACCTTWGAGAAACTAGAGAAAATTAATGGAAATTGAGACATATAAAAAAAAAGCATCTAATGAGGCTCGTGCTAAAGTTGATTTGTTTTTCTGATATTTAGTAATTATGGCAATTTTACCTTGGATTTTCCCATTTCAGACCGTGCGTCATTCTTTAGAGAATAAGACTATTTGTTTGAGCTGTTTCCATGTTCATTTGTCTTCTCGTGCGCAACCGTTTAAACAAAGAAATAAATGATACTCTAGGGGATGACATGTGCTCTGAAATCGTAAACATTACGCCAAACTTTGAAAATCTCATTGAGCAGACATCAAAGATATGTAGCGATTTAGCAAATGCTTCATTTTGGAAAAAAAACGTAAGTACTACTCGAAATAATTATCCAAGCTTTCCAGAATAAACTACTGATAAACTAACAATAGTAACATGCGAAAGAACTTCGACTGCGCGTTAAGATATCGCGGCCTCTCGAGGGAGCGTTGGTGCCATTAAACAAAAGATTTCTCAAGGCATCCTTTGTTAAAGGAACCAATTTTTGTCCTTTGTCTCTCTTGGGAATGCTTGCAATCCATCAATAGAATAAGAAAATATTCATCATACATAATTCGAATCTTGTCTTACCTTGTGTTCGTATTGAGAACGGTTGGCTGTCCCCATAATTCTTGTCGTTGCTGCTGTCCTTGACTCTGACAACATACGTACCATCTGAAACACTATCTGGTATCAACCAGCTAAAACTCATTTCTTTATCTTTATACTCGCTCAAGGATTGGCTAATATCGAGAACTTTCTCCATGGTTTCGCTATCGAGAAGTCTAATGYCCCATCTAAACGCGGTAGTTTTCTGGGTCCATGTAATAGTGTACGAACTACTTCTACGCACAAACCATATACTTTTCTCATTCGGTTCTAGAACTTCAATACTTTTTTCTTCCAGACCCATCGTTGTATTTACTCTCAGAGAAAGTACTACTATATGTAAAAAGAAAATTTCAAATAATTGCCTATTTGTTACCGAGTTTAGTTTCATGTTTATCGGCTTGGCTTTCGTAACAGCAATTTTCCGAGTAAAAAATAATCAATCCTCGTTAGATTTTTATATCTTTATAAGTTACTCAATTATTCTCAGTTTTAACACAGCTGTTTTAGGACGCTGAAACTTTGAAAGTTTACATTCTTTTTTTTTATTGACAAAGCTGCTGATTTATAAACAACTATTATAACGTTATGTACACGAGTGAGATCAAAGTCGTATTTCGAGTAATTAATCAAAACTTTTAAGCACAAAGCGATTATTAATTTCAATAAGTTTATTACTCCTAATTCTATTTTGCATTTGCATTTTATTGCGATTTTTCTAATTGTAATTTACAAGTATTTATTAGTTATTKTTTTTAAATACATATTTTGGAATTTCCCATTGTTTTACTGTTATAAATGTTTATTAYTATATTTATTTTTTACCTTTTTAAAATTATTTTAGAGTAATATCATAAAATTCGGTCTGTCGTATGATATTGAAAGAAGGCAAATAATGCTTTTCATTGTATAAAATACTTATTTTTTTCCAGCGACAGTGGATGTTAAAATACTAAATCTTTTGAAATATAGGGTTGTAGTCGATGAGAAAGTACTGATTCAATTTGAAAAAAAAGAAAAGAAAAATTAAAAAAGAAAAATTAGGAAAGAACAATGCCTAGCGGTAAAGCCAACTTCCTCTTTCATCGCCGCCATCTTGGCTCGTCTCGTGCTTCGCTGAAAGCGATCCAATATGGCCGCCATGCAATAACTTCGTAATTTTGACTTCGTATTTCTTCAATAACTCACACTAAAATAAATTTTTAGTTATGAGTTCAAAGATCAGTGTCACCAAATTCAAAAAAATGGCRAAGGAGTTTGCTTCAGTCCGACCGTAAATTTGATAAACACCGTGTCATCTTTGYTGTATGAAGATCCCTGAATGTCGTCTTGGAGAACGAATCTTCTGGCTCCTTTACCGAGCTGTCTGTTTATCGATGGTCGGGCGATTCCTTGTGGCTCGAAGGTTGCTACTATATCTTTCTTGTCCTTGGCAGACTCGCATTGGTCGAGAAGCGTAAAGGTATATCGAGGGAAGAAAGGCCATTTTAAGATTCCATCGTACTCACCGACTTGGACCTACGACAAATATATTCGTGGGATTTCAAACAAAAATCGATTCTTTTTAGCTACTTGTAAAGAACTGAATGAAACGATGTGTAACCAGTGTGCCACGAAATGCAGTTTTATTATGATCGTTCTCGAGGTAACATTCAAGTATACGTCACACTCCACAGTCACTACCACTATATATACATCTATTTCTAAAAAGAAATTTGTCAGTCGGAGATCTGAGATGGGCGATCTGAGAATAAACGGGATTTTGGTGCTCTTATGTTTTCTGACTAAAATACGAAAAATTACATTCCTAACTCAAGGTTCATGCTCCATATCCCAATTTAAAAGGAAACTACAGGTGCTGACACACGGTGCAACATTGCATGCAACATTGCACGCAACAGGAATGTTGCAGCGTGTGTCTACTCCAAACTTGTTGCACGCAACGTTGCATGCAACAAATCTGAAGTTGAATTGTGCTCTACTCTAGTAACATTGCGCGCGACAAATTTCATCATGTGGATATGGCTGCAACATTACCTGCAGCGTTTTGAAAATTCCAGCCAATCAGCTTGCACCAAATTTATAACTGCTGACCAAATATCTTAACATAGCAGACTGACACAAGCGATGTTGCGTGATTTTGTTGCAATGTGTGTCACCCCGATTCAAATTTGTTGCTTGCAATGTTGCGTGTATTGTTGCAACGTGTGTCAGCACCTTACGTCGTTCCGTTGTTAACGTATTACATTTTGCAACGTTCAGCGCTTTTTTGTTTTTTGTTTTTTTTGAAATAGATGTATACATTTAATATTCTAAACATACAACTGTCATCTCAATTTTAATTTTTTTCCCCAAGGGAGGAAATCCAGAGAACCCGAAGAAAAACCTCGTGTTCCAGTATTGAAGATAAATTGAAAAAAATATAAAGATATAGTTTTGATCCTAACCTGCAGTCCAACAGAGATATACCGTCCCCTTCCTGTACCAATCCCATTGAGCCAAACTCCAGCGCACATTTTATACCCGTGTGGGTGGGTGTAAAAGGGCTCACTGATCAGCGGTTCAGACGATCGTCCTGACTTGGCATCCATGAGTTTCCGAGTAAAGTCAGTGATTCTCCAAATGAATTCTCCATTTGCCGTCCTGCTTCTTGTTTCGACCAGTTCGTCTTGTTGTGCCATCAGGGTTTCTTTCTGGAGCTGTAGGTGTTCTTTTTGTAGTTGGACTCGCTCTTTTTGAAGTGAAAGCTGTTGTTTTTGGTCTTTGACGAGATCACAGAGCATTATTAGGTGAGTTTGGACATTCTCTGCCAGGTGGGACGACATTTTTTGTCTCTCAGCCTGCAAATGAATAAGATGCATAAACAATGAATCAGCGAACTCTGAAACGACCTCTGAGCTTATCTAAGTCAGGGCATAGCTAACTCACAGATCAAACTCTTAAACGACCTCTGAGCTGATCTAAGGACATGGCTAACGATCGACCTCTGGTCTGATCTACGTCAGGGCACGGCTAACTCACAGATCGAACCCTGAAACGACCTCTGAGCTGATCTAAGGACATGGCTAACGACCGACCTCTGGGCTGATCTATGTCAGGGCATAGCTAACTCACAGATCAAACTCTGAAACAACCTCTGGGGTGATCTAAGTCAGGGCATGCCTAACTCACAGATCGAACCCTGAAACAACCTCTGGGCTGATCTAAGTGATCAGGGCATGGCTAACTCGCACAACAAAATTGGAATTTAACGTGTAACCGGCTGGGTTTTGCGGAGATAGCAAACTCAGACAACCTGGAGAAAGAACTCACAGACCAAAAACTGAAACGACGTTTGGGATGATCGAAGTCAGGGCATGGCTAACTCACAAATCGAATAGAAATTTAGCGTGTTGGGTTTTGCAGAAGAAAACCATGCAGAGGAACCGGAGACCGATACCTTCACAAATCAAGAATAGACCCAACAACTACGTACACGCACGTAATACAGAGTCCAGGGATTGAAACCGAGATACCAGAGGTACCAAACCAATAATATGTAATTTTGTAGGCTGGAATCATTTCTTTTATGCAAGAACGCTTCCTCTACCATAAAATTTTACTAGAGGCTTTGCACAATCACGTGATGGCAGCCATTACAGGGGGCATAACAATAGAGTCTTTTCCCCCTGGAAAACTGAATCCTTTCTAATGTAAATCAGATTAGATCAGAATCAATTGTTCCTGCCCCATGTCATGGCTGCCATCACGTGATGGTGCAAAGCCTCTATAGAAATCAAAGCTTTCGGACTAGTTAGTCCATCCTTAGGGAATAATGAGATGGCGGTTAAAAATGTTATTTACAAACAAGCTATGAAAACATATAAAGATGAAGTAACCAAAGAAACAAAGGAAACGAACACGTGCGCGCTCCGAGCTTCTTACAACGCGCGCGCGTTATATGTTCTATTTATTTTATTTTAACAGAGACTTATATAGCAATCTTTAAGTGTTCTTTCACTATCCCTACTAGCTATGATCTTCCCTCCTCAGATAATGTGGTGAGCCTCGGCCCACTTCCACTGGTTCAAACTTTGCTCTTTCTCTAAGATCTTAAGAGAGGATGTCAGCAAAAATCGAACATACGCCGGCAACAGTCGAAAAATCGAATTTGCTCATATTTTAGTATTAGGAAGACCTTGATGCGATATAAACCGTGGCATACTTCATTTGCCAAAATATCGCTTTATTTCCGAGGAAAACGAGGAAAACCAATTTGTGCATAATTGACTCTCAGAGAGAGCCAAAATATCATCCAACTTCGAGTGCCTCGCGTGCCTTTGCAAAAATGTGTATGAACTTGATTGTTGAAAAACTTTTTTTAACATTGTCTTGGCTTTAAATCTGTGAAATTTTATTATTTTCCAATAAATTTATGTTGGCGAAAAAAATTTTATTACCAAAGTTACTTTGGCACGTCATAAATACAAAGAACTTTCAAAAAATATTTAAACCATGTGCTATATAAAATAAAAGCTCGATATTTAGAAATTGAGAAGTTGAAACAATGTTCTAATCGTGAGTAAAGTGATTGTTTTGGGTATTTTGTTTTTGTAATTTAACTAGGTGTATCGAAGAAGGAAATCTGTCGACATTCTCTTTTCGAGAGCAATAACGCGTGCGCGGTTATTGACTGAAAATCGCCACTTGTATATCCTAAAATGGCTAAAGATAAATAAGAAACTGTGGCCTTTCACGAAATCTAGGTAAAAGTATAAATTATAAGATCAAAACATTTAATAAAAGTCTAAAAGCGCGATATTAATTTTTTACAGTAGTGAAAAATATCATAWTTACCACTTATATAATAGCGGATCAATCACCATAGCAAACGTTACCAAGTAGGAATATTTATTGGTGATCTTGTGAGGCATAGCAACGGTAACTAAGGCGAGTGGTAAACATGAGTGAGATTACGAGAAAAGAAAAAAAGAAAAACAAACTTCAGCAATGTCCTATAATTATGATAAATGTAATGGTTTTGGTGTTAATCAGCTCGAAAATAAACGTCGTTTATCTAGTGCTATTGCTTGAGTTTGGGAGCCTTTGGAAAGCTTTGGAGAGTCACGTCGACATCGTTTGTTTCCCCACTCGGCTAACGCGACTTCAAGCCGCGACCTTTGCTCGCGGGAAATGTTCGTAAATTTGATCATGTACAGTGGTGAAAATTTGCTCAAAAATGTTCCTTCATCCGGTGGTATTGCTTGAGTTTGGAAAACCTTTGAGAGCCACGATATTTGTAATTCTTTTTTCCCGCTCGGCTGATATAACTCGAAGCCGAACTTTTCTCGTAAAATGTTCGTAGATTTTACTGCAGTGGTGAAAATTTGCTATAGTGAATCCAATTCAAAAGAAAATTCAAGGGCGCTTTTGTTGTTTCTTCTGCTTTTTCGTTGATCTCTTGGAGTTTGCAGATTAAGTTGTTGCAAAGAGGGGGATCCAATAGGGCTTCGAGCATCAGATCTTGAATTTGGATAGGCAAGATAGGGTGATCCAGCAATGGCGCTGTCGTTACAAGACGAACACGGCGAACAAATATTCAAATAATTCTCATTCAAATACGAATCGCTCCTAGGAGAATTATTTTTTCTTTGAATAGCATATTCTTTTGAAGTGACGCCATTTAGGAACAGAGGTGGATTGTTAGAGGGAAATTTTTTTTTCTTGTCAAGGTCGTCAGACATAACCCATCGGCTCATTCGTTCTTCTAACGTTTCAATGGGAAGGCAGTCGAGTAGGCTTGGAGTAGCGACCAAGGGTCCCAAATTACTCTTACTTGAAGAGGAGAGAGAGTTCGGCCTTTGATCGTTGGGCGATGGAGACTTGGAAAACGAAAAACAGCTCGTGCTCCCGGACGAACCAAGCGGAGAGGCGCACCCAAATGAGCTGACACTCGTTGAGGATATTCTCCGATGACTTTCGAGGCCGAACCCTGGAGTTAAGGTTTTCTCAGAGAATGGAGTATTCAAGGCGCATGGGTCTGACTTTTCGCCTTGGCATGAATATTCATCGGGAGTGGGGCACACGCGAACAGCAACATGACCATTTTCTTCACAGCCAAAAATCAAAGGAGTCAAAGATTTCGATTTTCGTCGCTGGAAAAGTGGTACTTCTAAACTAGATRGCTCCTGTTCCGCCATAGTATTTCTTGGGTCCTTAGAATTTATTCCTTTTTTTGTTAAAGTGAATTATAGACACATTAGCCGCTATAAACCTTTCTTTATATACCCTGCGTTAGCCAATCAAAATTCTTCAATTCTATGACGTCAGTTTTRATTTTGAACCTCGAAAAGTTTTAAGATACAAGACGTCACATTTTTTCACTGCGTAAAAATCCATGTTCTTGTTGCTTAGCAACGGATTATTTTGGTTAATTAGCAACGCTAGTAAAGGAATTGTTTTTGTTTTTGCTTATATTTTCTTGCAAACAAGACTTGAATATTGATAAGAAGAGTGCTTAACTCATAAAAATAAYCAAGAGACATGAAGGATTTACACAATTAGAAGAATGGCTAGCACATTACTTATTTTTTCACTATTTTCTATMCTAATTTCGACTCATTTTTTAATGAGAAGCCTCTGCCAAGCCAGCTATATTCCAAGTTTTGATCGGCATTTGACTCACGTTCAACAAAGCGCGCTCGATCAATAGATTTTCGTCAAAATGGTATTTTTCTTTAATAATTTACCGGGTCTGATTCTTATTTATACAAAATATTAAATTACCGAAAAAAATGATTTTTCTTTTCTTTTTCCTCTTTACGGTGCAAATATTTTTACTGAGATAAAACAACTTTGAGTTTTTGAGCTCATTTGCATTTATTTTCAATTTTATCATATTATTCAATCGGTTAAAGTTAAAGTTAAGTTTCCATTTAAAATCTAAAAACGATTCATTACTAACCGAATCTTTGAATTGTTTTTTTTCTTAATAAATTGCGTTCAAATATTACCTAGGTCATCTATCGTTAGAGCCGTTTTGACGAATATAGTATACTGACGTAGTATGTGACGTCACAAAGCTTTAAAAATAAGTGTTCAATCATACTGAAAGTAAGGTAATCTTAGTTCCATCCACAGGAAGCAAAATAGAGCATTTTTTTCTGGAAATTGTATGCATGAATTTAAGAACCCTTCTTACTACTAAAAACTAGCTTTAGCTAGACATGCTAGACTCGCCTCTCACCAAGGCTATCGGTGTCGTATGTGAATAGAGTTGCTTGTTGGTTCTCTCCTGTGCCGTCAGGTTTTTTCTCCGAGGTTTCCTCACAAAAATCAACTACTATACTCCAATTGGAATCCAGTGGAACTGAAAGAGCCACTCTGTGGAATCCACTGTTAATCCCATTTCTTTTTTCAAATTTTATCAGAAGAACAACACAAAGGCGGATCCAGGGGGGGCAAAGGGGGGCTGAAGACCCCCCCCCCCCTTCAGCAGAAAAAAAAACGATGCTTTTTTATATTGTTTTTCGTTGTGTTGACGGAAGAAACTCAATTAGCCCCCTCCTAAACTCAATTAGCCCCCTCCCCCCTAAAATTTTGGCTGGATCCGCCCTTGCAACAATCTTATTTTTGCCCTGCGTTCGCATTGTTCGGTTTTTGCTGTCGYCAATTAAACAGTTTTTGATAATTTTAAATTAACATAGAAAACAGTATGACAGTGAACTTGACRTCACTGGATTTTTCAAACGCACGCTTAGTACATCACAATAGACCATTTCTGAGACAACAAATATGGATTGGACATCAAGGTTGAGCTTCGATCGGAACAAACACCGTTTGTTCATTATGCTTAAATAATTGTGCCCAAGCTAGACCACAATGCATCRTGATCAGGAACCGCTATTAAATTAATATTGCAGTTGCATTTCCACAGAGTGGCTCTTCATCCAATTAGAATTAAGAAGTTGATTTTGAGGAGGKAGGAAAGCCGGAGAACCCGGAAAACCCTCGAAGCACAGGAGAGAACCAAGAAACGACTCTACTCACATACGACACCGAGCACGGAGCACGAGCATCGTGTTAAGGGGGTGTCCCCCCAAGAAGCCCTATTTTTTATGCTCCCCTTTTATTGGTGGTTGCTACTGAGTGACAGACCCCCTCCCCCTCCCCCTCCCCTCTCTCGACACATGTCAATATTTACTTGATCCCCCTCCAGTTGTCTAAAAAATCATATATGACCACCCCACCCCCTAAATCCTCCAACCCCCTATAAGTGTCAATAAATGACCAGTCCCTTATCAAACTGTATTTAAAAGTCTAGTTTTGCTCAAAAGACAGAATGAGTTCTTAACAGAACTGATGTTTACCTTGTAGTAGCAGCCTGCGTCAGCAAATGTACAGGGGATGACAAGAAGAGGACACTCTGTATTCATGTGTAGCGAGAGCTGTTGAGATAAAATAAGTTAAAATAAAAAAATGGAAATAGTTCTTTTATTCTCGCGATCTAATTGGCTGACAGCTATGATTAATGAGAGGACAGACACATAGAATGAAGAATCGCTCCCGCACGGAGACAGCGCGCGCTAGAAACTGCTTTTTTTTTAAAAACTCAAAACTTTACAGTGAGACCACTAGGTGCACTATTGATTCCACTTGAGTTTTAAACATTTTAAGACGTCTAAAAAAAGGGCGATTTTTTAAAGAGATAATAGAGTAAACTTTCTGTTTCTTTCTTTTACTTGCTTTCCAATTTAAAAATTATTGTTTCGTGATTGCTCTTTCCCATTTTTCTCGCATTTTATTTCTTTTCCTTTGTCTCTCTCTCTGTGTTTCTCACTATTTCATAATCGCCATTCTACAAAAGCAAAAGTYTGATGTAAAAAAGCACTCCCCTTTTCTCTCCCCTTCGGCCCTGCCCTATTCCAATTCCGCTATCTTCACCACGCACGCACTAAAAATCAAAAAAACAAAAAAACAAAAAACAAAAAACAAAAAAACAAAAAAAAACACACACACACTTTAAGATTTCAACCCTAAACTAATCTAAAATTATGCTAAAATTAGGATCTTTTCAAGTTTGTAAAAATAGTTCGTTCTTTGACGTCACAGTTTCCATCATTAAGTAAAGTTAGAGGGTAATTAAACAGTATGACGTCATCTGTCTTATGTCATCAGTCGACATCAGTTGAACGAGTTTGGTTTCCTGTACGTGAGAGTAAGTGATGATAACTGGTCCTTGTTGGTATTTGTCGGTCTGTCTTGTCGCGTCTAGGTACGTTCGTAATT